GACGACGGACGAAAACGGATAGCAATAGGTCACTTGAGCTAAAGCTCAGGTGACCTAAAAACTTCTTCTAAAGTTCTACAAGGTCTAGAGTCTTGATATTTGATACATAACATAGTTAGGTAATTGGCTATCAACTTTGTAAAAATTATTGACCTTCATCGACTTTCAAAGGTCACAGAGGTCATATATGTAAAAATATTCAAACCACTTTTTTCTGAATAACCAATAATCTCAGGGTAACGATGTTTGGCAAGTATGGTTGAATGAAAGACTTTAAAAGTTTGTGCAAATGAATGACCTTGACCTTCTCTAAATATAATTTAAAAAGAGTTATTGGTAAAAACCGTTTTCAATTTTGTGCAATTTTGCTGTTTTCTCAGTACTTTGATTTATATTTAGACACACAAAAAAATCAAAATTATATTGAACAATTTTTTTTTATGTTACCAAGAAGCAAAGTATAACATTTTTGAAGCAGAATCACAGTGGAAAGATGGGTTGTAGGTCATAGGGGTCGAAAGTGTTGTTCTTATTATGAGGGCTTTTCCGCATCAGATTCATGAGATTTTGGTGCCCTAATCCTTTGATTGGTAGCATGACATGTTCAAAGACTTTCAAGTATATTGAAGGCCATGATTTAGAGATGTTGTTGCATCATTTTCAAGTATGACAAAAATCCAATATGGCTGCCATGACGTCATTTTTAAAAATCTTAAAACCGCCATAACTAAAAAAACTGTTGATTATAAACATTAATGCATTATACCATTTGCAAATATTTCTTGGGGCTAGCTTTTCCTCATTACATATTCTAGAAAAAATGTCAAATTAAAATCCTCCCTGTCGGGTCATAGTTCATCATTTTTTCAGCTTTTTCATTTTTAAATTATTTAAAAAAAATCTTTTTGCAGTCGATGCAAAATTCCATCCCAATGAATCAGCTTTTTTCAGTTTTTGCTGTAAATTTAACGTTAACGTCCTACGCTATTTTGAATATTTCCTTTGATCTCAAAATCTTACCACCGAGAAACATTCCTAACTTGAGCAAGTCTAATACACGCTGGTAATACTACATCAATTACTACGCACTCTCAATCTTAAAAGTATGGATAGTTTACATCTCTACTGCAGTGGGCATCGTCAGCCTTTCTGTGGCATGGCAAACCGAACCGATATAGACAAAATGCTAGTTTCAATTCATCATCCTGATGTACATAGTTGAAGGACTATATGAATTTTACGAACTACCTTCGTATACAACACCGCCCATTGGCTGCCTATATTAATCCATTCTTTCTCTGACGTCATTTTTGCACTCTGAGATTCCCCCACTAAAAGTGACTCAGTCAGCTACTGTAGACTTGCACAAGTTCATGCCTGATACTTGTTATAACTGAGAATTTTTATTGACTACTAACACTGCACATTTTCTTTCTCAAAGTCGCAGCTAAGGAAAATTTCAGAACTATCTATTAAGTGTCAGAAGCAAAAGACCACAATCGAACCCAAATCAGTCCTAACAGTGAAAAGCCGGTCAAATTGTTAGCCTACCATTTCAAGTTGTGTTATTGTGTTTATTAATTGTGGTGATTATGAATAAACATTAGTCAGTGCCTATATTGCTGGGAAATAGTTTTTGTATTCGTGTTTTTTATTCTATTGAATAAAAATTGGAAAAACCAGAGTGAATTAAGTGGGACAAGGATCCTTAAAAAACATTGTGTCTATTTATAGGGACACCTGATTATCAGTTAAACAAGTTTTTTATCTATTAGATTGCAGTGACGTAAGAGGCCGATGATCTAACCCAGGATGACAACTGCGGGTTCTGGTCCCTGGTGGTAGACGGTTATTTATGTGATAACCTATATAACAATACGTGTATAGTGTCTGCAGTCATTATAAGCTCCACTGCCGTTTTCTATAAATAGCCTTAGTCTGATATCACCTGTGGATCTATAATCAGCCCGCCAATGTGAGTCTTGTCAATAAGATGTAATAAAATCTCGATATAATGCCTGTAAAACCTTGATATAGTGCCCTTTGTTCAATTTGCCACCTCATTTAATTCCCGCCAACACCTTTCAAGATCCCTTCTTTTCTTTTTTCTGAAGAATTCCTTTATAAGTTTACCTCATTTTATTGCCAAGTCAGCCCCTTGAAAATGCCAAAATTTCTCTGGACAAATGGTGGCAGTATAACAAGGTTTTACTTCATATTTTCATTTGAAACATACAAATTATACAGTCAAGTGATTCTTGATAGTTATAGTGATAATAGGTGTCATTCAGATTGAGACCACTATGGGTGAAGAAACAAATTTTTAATGTTTCGTAATGTAGTGATTTTATTGTTAAATCAACCTGTATAATTTAAGAGACCACTCGCAACAGACTAGGTTAAAACTGACTTAAAAACTGCAGAAAACTATTATTTTCAAACATAGTATTGGAATAATGGTAGAGAGATAAGCTGAGAAAACATTACTCCTTGGGTTGTAGGTTTCTCTGTCACACCCTCAAGGTATGGGATGATTCTATTATAATAATGTCAGACAGCTGGCCCAAACTTGCCACTGTCATGGGTGTCGAGTGATGACAATGATGTCATTTCAATTATAACATCATAATTATATTGCTGAAGAAAGCTGGCAGATATTGGCTGTTGGCTGTTCCATTTACTGAAAACCTACCCCAAATTTGGAGAAGAAATAGGAATTCGTAAATTGAAATAAGAGCGAAAATCTGAAAATTATAGGTTAAGTATTGAACAGCATGCTGTTCAGAGTAAATGTTATAGTCGTATAATTCCGAACGGGCTTACAGACAAATGCTAATAATGCACCAACATGCTAAACGATTTGTTTAATATTTACATTAATTCCGACTTAATTTGTTATCACACTACAGAAGCATTTGGTAATCTGTTGAGTAGAATGCATGCCATTTACATTGTGATGTCTGATGATTGTGACCAGCCAGTATTTGTAATTAATAAAAGGCCTTTTTTTTTTTAAATTTTTAAATTTTTAAGGATCCCTGTTCCACTGTATGCTTATTGCAAAATATGTATGCTATACATAGTCTGCAGGATATTTACTTTGTCGTTAATCTACTCTAAAGAGCCAAAGTGATTCTGGGCTAATATGTTTTTTGTTGATTAATGATAAATATCTGACAGGGCCAAAGTTTTCTGGTAAACAATTTCCTGTATATCCTCCAATACTACACGTAACTTGTCCACGACGTTGGGGGATATCCGACTAGACGAACCTCTTCCTGTTAATACAGGTACCGGTACTTGACATTCATTAAACCATTAAATACAGTTAAGGATCCTTGTGCCACTTAATTTGGTTTTACAGTAGCCTCTCCTAAATTAAAATTTGGATAAAACTGTAGCACAGTTGGGCTTGGATAATTCCGTTGACCAATTAACTCAGTCAATTAAGTAATGGAAAAACAATCTGAGCTTTAAGATAAGAAGCTCAAACCAACTTTCGTGTAACTCACTTGAATCATGTCAAACGATCAAAAAATGAAATGCAAACATTGAAAACAGTATTTGGCTTTAAGTTTCTTCAAAATTTGTCCCCCATATTAATGACAATATTAGATTTTATTATTATTTTATAAACAGAACAAGGAATTATAGGCTTATGGGCACAAAATCCATGCTTGAGCATGAGAACGGTTTCATGAACACAGGCCCAGGCCTATAGCCCCACTGAATGTTAACCCTTTAAACACTGTAGACCATAATGGACTCATCCAGATCAATGCATGGTAGAGTCTACTAAAGTTACATAGGGGTGAAAGGGTTAACAATCAGAACACTGTTGCTGATTATATTTTTTGTTTATTTCATCGTCATTATTTTTCACGGATGTCTTGCAAAGAATGGATTTCTTTTCAAAAATGATTTATTAAAAGTTATAGACATGTTGAAAAAAAAAATCACTGCGTCGTTATAGTTTCCGGCAGTGTGGTACGAGCATCTGTACTTGTGTCAAGTTTACACAAGTATCATTGTATATGACCATTGATACAAGTACATGACAGAATTTCACAAGGGCTCTTTAAGTGGAAATTATGAATTTCGTAGAACTATTAGTTCATACATTGTACTTCAGCTACAATTTTTTGTAACTATATAACCTCTCAATTTTCCTTTTTTCCCGGAACTATCTTAAAACATCTCTAATTTTGTCAACATACTTACTACTTGATTTAAGAAAAAAAAAAATCATATAAAATCTGATTCTTTCTGCTTAAAACCATAATGACTCCTCAAAAGTACAATCTGTGTAATCAAGATATTACTCCAGGGACCAAAATATTCGTTCGGTCTAGTATACACAGAGTCTATTCTGTTATAATGAACTCATTCACCCCTGAAGACGGTTTTGAACTCTTCCAATTTTAGAGGTTGGAATGGTTCATTATGAAATTTCAGGGGTGAATGAGTTACGGTAAGTCAACATTTTGACTTTCTATAGTTTTAAGGATCCCTGTCCAACGGCAATGTATTTTTTCCCTTTATACAGAAACGTTCCCTTAATTTCACTGCGGATATTGTAACTGTAGCAGAGTTCGGTCAGAGGTTTTCCGTTACATATACACAGGTTATCAGCCTAATCCAGGTTCTGTAAGATTTATATATACAGTACTAGTGGAAACCAGGTTAAATAGGTTTAATTTTTTTCTTTGCACCCGTGATTTTATTTTGTGTTTTTGTATCTTGCTCAATTCCTGCTACTTAAATCTACTATCTTTTTTTTCACTTTGAGTTGAGAAGTTTGTATATATAATGATGCTGTGGTATATCGTTTTTTTTGGTTACCGTCGACAGAGTATAGCCACTAATTCTATGATACATATGCAGAACTGTTTCCTCAGACAGCGTGTGTATTGTGTTAGCAGGAATGCTGTGCTGTGCATAACCATGTCAACAAAATTTATTCTGTTGTGTAACACTGATGTTATCAGCGATGAATGAAAAACTCCGCCTGGTAGTATTTCTAGATGTATATATACATAACCTGGATTTTGTAAGAAGAAATCTGCATTCTACATTCTGTTGCGATAACAGTTATAGTGTTAGTTTACTCCGCTCCCCAACCCCACTTGTCTGGGACATATCCGAAACCTAAACACAGCTATTATAGACAAACACCCTAATTTCTGGAATGTTCTATTGCTTAAAATAGGGGTGTCTGCTTATTTGTGGTATTTTTACATGTTAATGCCATGCATATTTTTTTCAATAATCAATGGACATATATATATATTAACAGTATATTTATTCAGCAAAAAGCCCATGGGGCCAGCACGTCAACTTTGACTTAAAAGTAATTAGGGGTGGGCTTTAATATTGCAGGACATTATAACCCATTCACCCCTGAAGACACATTTGAACTCTTCCCATTCAAAGGTTGGAACAGTTCATTGTAAAATTTCAGGGTAGAATGAGTTAAAACTGCATGTGTTACTTTGTCTTTGGCATGGGTGGGCTTATTAACAGACATGGGCCTATTCCTGGATAAATACGGTAATACAATGAAGCAATATCTCATTACATTTCGATATATTTAACCACTGATTTCAATAATGGTAAAACATTTGGTGGAGTATAAATGTCATGGTTTTCATCATACTCTGACCTTTGTTCTTCACCAATCTAAGTCAGATGACAGAGTGGTGTGAATATTCAGTTCACTGGCACAGCTTTATGGGTTTACAGTGAGTTTTTTTGTTTTTTTTTTAAATATTTTATTTGGAAAAACGGGGGG